TGAGAAAAGATTAAAATAAAGGAGAAACGACATTTTGCTAAAGTGTTTACAGATTTGTAATTTTTCTGTAAAACGAGAAAAAAACTGATAAAATAAAATGTTCAGTAGCCAATGATTTATTGTTTGTGTGTATGTGTGTTTGTGTCTGAAAATTGCTATTGTTTGCTTGTAGTGGACTTCAGGATTAACATGATTGCATAATTAAAAGAAAGTAAAGTGTTATAAGGAAAAAAATTGAGAAAAAGAGAATGAGAATGAGAAAAGTGGTCAATGATAACAATGATGATAGTGATGTTGTTGACAGTGATGACATTGATGAAAATGAGAAAAATGAAAAAGAAGTAGGAAAACTACTGAGATTAAATTAAATTAAACGTTATACATTTGAGATTAAGAACTTTTGCGCGTTGAAGTGACAATTGTTGGCGACCAGACAGCAGTACATTCTTGAGGTGATGATGTTGTTTGTTTTGTTGCTGTGAAACATGTGTCAACGGCAAATCATTAGGAAGAAAGAGTTTTGAGATCAAAAAGGGAAAAATTAGAGAAATTTGATGAAAAAACTTGAACATATCATTAGAGCATAGCAGGTAAACAACGAAACAGAACAACGAACAAAATGGCTTTCCTGGAGAAGCTGAGCAAGAAACCATTTTGATGATGATTGCCAAAACTCAGGCATAGTTTTTGATGTTCAAGTTACTATCAAATTTCAAGCCTTGCAAGTGTCTTTCAGGTTGAAAATAAGAGTTTGATTTTTGTAAGACGTTTGTCTGCTCTGAATTGTGTGTGTGTGCTGGTTTGACAACGTAAAAAATTAAAAGAAAAAATAAATTTAACACAATAATGTAACAAGTTAACATTATTTGTAAGTGGTCTGTGTGTAAGAGAGAAGAAAAGAAAATGTGTGTTAATTTGCAGTATCGGTTGACGTGTGTGTGTGTGTGTGTGCTTGCGTTTTAATGTTAAGCATAATGATCAGGATGATAAAAAAGTACAAGGTATTTGGCGATGTTTGTCCAGTCCGTCGTTGCAGCTGCAGCAACAACAGCTAGCAAACAATGACACAGGAGAAGAAGACAAATGATGATGAGAATGAGAAGAATGAGTGAATGAAAACAAATACGCTTAACGTTCATAGAGAGTGCAGTGTTTGAAACAAAGCAAATATTGCAGAACACTTTGCACTGCTGACTTGCTTTCTGTTGCTTTGGGTGTTGGTCAACTGATGCTCAAAAAGTGGTAATTGGGAAAGAGTGTTCATTTTACTGATTTTTTGGTGTGTTTGTGTTTGTGTGTGGATGATGACAGCAAATGATAAATAAAAAAAAGAAAGAACAAAATTGGCTTTGGCAACTGACAGGAGAGGTCTGAAGTGGAAATTGAGATAGGGGTGAAATTATGAGAGGTAATTAGTAAGTGGTCCAGAAAGAAAAAAAGGAAAAAAGAATTCTGAACGTGTGAGTGTTCTTGGCAAACAATCTTAATTTTGAATTGTCCGGCTCAACAATTCAAACGAGAAGTTTGTTTAGCTCAAGAAAAAAGAAAATAAAAGTTAAATAAATTTTCTACAATCACAACAGTATAACAGTAAAGAGATGAGGGTGATGAATGAGAGAGGAGAAAGAGAAAGAAAGATGAAAATCCATCATCCATCACTAAATCCATTGGCATGTAAAAATTATATTTGTATTTTGTGTGTGTTTCATGTGATTAGTGCATTTGCGCGCCAACAGAGAAGTGTTTCAACTCTTATTCTCCATGATTGAGATTGTTTTTTGGCATCAGTTCAGAATGCAAAATGTGTCAGTGTTAATAGTTGAAAAGAAGAAGAAGATAGGGAGTGCTGAGTGGAGAACATAGTCCAAGATTGATAATGAAGGAAACAAAAGTGGAGAACTGAGGCGAGAAAGTTGGTGACATAGGCTTGAAAAAAGCAGTAAAAAGTTAATTTTGCAACCTTTCTTTTGCTTTTTGCCTCCTTTTTGTCTTCATTCAAAGCAACTTTGTGTCAGCCAACAAATTTTATCTGTCTGTCTGTTTGTCAAGAGTGACTGCCAAATTTTTGCTTGACCTTTTTTGCAGCAATGTTGACACAACATGGAGCTGCAAAGAAGTGGGCGCAGTGAGATGCAGTTTGGGTGCAGTGGTGGCAGGGGCAATGACAATGACAATGACCATGACTAGAACTTGACCACGTTTTTTCAGTTGATAAAACTCCCCCTTTTTCCTCTAAAACTGGTACCACTTTTTGTCGCGGTACTTGAGCATGACCGCATGGGCGACGCTGCCGAAGGCCTCCGCTTCGGACTGCATCTTCGCTGTGCTGTCCTCCAGCTTGCCCAGGCGCTCGCCACGTTCGGTGAAGCCCTGAAAAAAGAGAGAAAATTTTAGTTTAATCAAAAGTCTTATCAAAACTACAGCCTCATTCTATGCAAGTTATATATTACGCCACAACAGACAACAGCAACAACAACAACAACAAGAAAACACAATTACCTCTCTCAGCTTGGCGAACTCCCCGCCGAGGGCGGCGGTGTGCGCCTTGGCGTGCTCCGAGCTGCCGGGAATGAGGCGAGCCGTCGCCTTGAGCGCCTTGCCGGAGTTGCTCTCCCCGAACAGTTCCTCGCGGTCAAGGGGCGTCGGCGCCCCTCCGAAGAAGCCCTTGAGGAAGGACTGCCTGGGCGGCTCGGGCAGCTCCTTGGGCGCCGTGTAGAGGGCGCCCACCATGTCGGGCAGGTTCTCCGNACTCCCCGCCGAGGGCGGCGGTGTGCGCCTTGGCGTGCTCCGAGCTGCCGGGAATGAGGCGAGCCGTCGCCTTGAGCGCCTTGCCGGAGTTGCTCTCCCCGAACAGTTCCTCGCGGTCAAGGGGCGTCGGCGCCCCTCCGAAGAAGCCCTTGAGGAAGGACTGCCTGGGCGGCTCGGGCAGCTCCTTGGGCGCCGTGTAGAGGGCGCCCACCATGTCGGGCAGGTTCTCCGCAAAGTTGGCGCTGATGGTGAACTTGGTCAGCTCGCTCGGCGAGCTCAGGTACATGCCGTGGCCGTTGGTGCTGAAGGTCAGCGTGCGGGCGATGCTAGAAACCAGAGACAATTTCAATTGAGTTGGTCAAGTATTAGTATTTTTTTTTGTGCCAAAATGGTCTAAAATCGTACCGAACATCGGTGAGCGGCAGAAAGTCGACGTCGACGAGCTGCCGCAGACTGGGCAGACTGTAGACGATGATGTTGCCAGTGGCGACGTAGACGGCCAGGCAGACGGCGTCTGTGAATAATAATAATCAAAGTTTGTTGAAAAGCACGCTTATCATGGCTCATATCACCACCATCTTACCCTGCGTCTTCATCTGGACAATGTCCGCGCGGACCGCCTGCGACGTCTCGGTGATGTTCGCTTTCTGGGCGCACAGCTGCAGCGGCATGGCAATCAGCCGGACCTGCTTCTCCGAGGTGATCACCACCAGGTGCGAGTCGCGAAAGTCAGAGCTGCTGGAGCTGCTGGGCGAAATCTTGGCCGGCTTGGAGCCGGCGCCGCCGCTGCCGCTGCGGGCAATGGTCAGCGAGCCGGTGCGCTTGGCGGTGGCCGAGCCGCCGGGGATGTCGGCCGGTGAGTCCTTCCACTGGTCGGCCTTCAGGGAGAGCAGCGCTCCGGTGGAGTCCATGAAGCCGATGTTCAGAATCGGTCCCTTCAGGCGGAAGATGCAGGCTGATGAGTGAGGCAAAGATGGTCAAAGAAAAAAGATGAGATGAGACGATAGATGTTTTTTGTTTAGTTTAAGCTGCTGCTTGAAGAAAAGAAGAGCCAACTTACGAGTGGGCGTAGCAAGGACCGTTTGCAGGCAGAGCACGCGATTGTCGTAGTTGTCGGGCATCGTCAGCGAGATGACGATCACCGAACCGAAGTTGGTGCCCACCCACAGCGTCGGCGTGGGCGTGGAATCTGGAAAAAAATTGATAAATAAATGTTAGATTTTCACAAAAAGGTCATTATCAGCAGATCTTTTCATTATTCTTGGTCTGTCCAGTGCCCATACCATTTTTGGTCATGTAGGTGTTGGCAAAGGAGAGAAACTGGACCGCCTCACTGCCGACCGACTCCAGGCTGGACATGGACGAGCTGCGAGATCGCGTGAAGTTGTCCAATTTGTCTGACGATGATTTTCAAAAGTTTTTTTTTGTGTAAAAGTCAAGGCGGTTTTTGTTTGAAGAAAGTCGTTTTGGTGAGTGGCAAAAACATGGCAAAGAAAGAGTTTGTTTGAATTAAAGATCGAGCAAAGTGAGAAGGATAAAGAAGGAACGAGGTAGAACGAGGATGAGGAGGTAGAGCAATTGGAAAAGAGGGAAATTGGTTGGAAGAATGAAAAAAAGGAGATAAAAGGAAAGGGATGGAGAAAAAGGGAAAAAGAAAACACAAAATTAGTATTAAAATGTGATCAATTGCAGTGTTTGGAGCAAAAAGAGAAAGAGAAAAAGAGTGTATGTAGAAAAATAGTAGTTGAAAAGGAAAAAATATGATTAGAGAAAAAAATGAAAGTAAAAGGTTAGAGGGCAAGACAAACCGAAAAATAATGAAAAACAAAAAAAAGTAGAAAAAATAAAACAAATCCAATGAAAGAGCACAGCAAAAAGAGAAAACATGCAGAGATTAGGAAAATGCAGGAAATGAAGAAAGCGCAAGACGGAAGTTGAGGTAGTTTCATGCTAAACAATAACACGTAAAAATAGAAAAAATGCATGTGAATGCAGGAAAAAAGTTCAGCAAAATGCACAATGTATTAACTTTGACATGCAAATGGAATGGTATAACTTGACCAAATTTATAATGCACCTTAATAATGTTACATGTAAAACACTGATTTACATTAAAACAAAAAAGTTTATCATGCACTTAATGTTATCGCTAGCTAAAAATAATTTAAAATTTTAACTGCACTTTAAAAAAGCTAAAATAGAAAATCTATTTTTAAAATTTTTTTATATAATTAAGTACTGAATAACAAATAGAAGTTTTTAACGATAAAAAACTTCAATGTAGCAACATTATAGCAGTTTAGTTCTTACATAAAATTTAAACTGCTAATTCTGCACAACTAATATCTAATTGAGCTATGAAACACACAAAAAAGTACACACACCAAGCTCTAGCAAACAACGGCACACACACACAATGGCAATATGCAACACTAATGCACTCGTGTTTGTTAATTGATGTGTTTGATGTGTGTGTTTTAGCAATGTTTTTGAAGGAAAATGTGTGATATCGAGTGTAATTGTTCATGGTAATCATGATCATGATCAGTTTGGTTCAGTGGTGATCAGATTCCGCAGATTGGAAGTTTTAAGCTTGGAACTTGTGTGTTGTAATAGGCACCTCAGGCACTTGGCAGCATTGAATTGTTTGCATAGCTTTGGCAAAATTTGGCGCTCATTTGAGAAGTTATCATTGGCATTATTCAACATCTGAACTGTCAAATATTTTTTTGGTTTTAAAACAGGACAAAAGGTTTGAATTAGCACTTGTGTGTGTGTGTGGTCATCCCTAGTTTTACTCAAGTATCTCCAATAAAATAAAAAGTTTGCAATAAAAAACTAAGCAAAATTAACTGCCAGAACTAATTAAATTGATTGTTTTTAAAATTAATCTTGCAATCAAATTGTGTGTGCTTGTGAAACAAGTGTGAAAAGAGTGTTTGAGTGCATTTGAC